GCCAGAAACTCATATCAACATAAATCCTCCACCAAGTGCTACACCTCTTACCCCAATGTACCTTGAACATCCACCCCATTCTCCCCATTTCCACATTATCTACTACAAATTTCTGTCTTCTGTTGCTTCAACTCTAGAAATAGCTTCTTTACTGTCTACGCTCACCCAGTTTGAATGCCTAACAAACTTCACACCATAGTATAATCAGAATTATCTTTTCAAAACATAAATCTGATGATGATACATCTCTCTTCTCATCCATCAAAGGCTTTGCAGTGCAATTTGGCAGGCAAAAAATGTCTTTACTTTGCCTATCAACTTCCACATGATTTAGTCCCCACTTTCCTCATTAGCATTAGCTGGAAACATGCAACTTTGTTCTCTCTGATTCAATCACATTGTTTACTTCATCACTTCCTTTGTTTTCATTATTTCTCCCTCACAGGGTCATTGCACACACTATTCCTCATGTCTGCCATGTTTTTCCTCCTCTCTTGACTTAGTTAATACCTGCTCATACTTCTGATCTCAATTCACATACCTCTTTGTTAAAGCCTTCCTTAACCTCCAAACCAGTCCAAATCACCCACTATGGGCTCAGATTATGCTCTATGTAACCCTCAGTGTAGCATATTGTGACCACATGTCTCCATTGCAATTTTACCTTTGCTTGCATAATTACGTGATTTGCATGATACCTTTCCTCAGAGGAGAGGTCTGTTTGGGTAGAAACCCTCACCTTTAACAAAGGACATGGCAATTAGTAGGTATTCAGTGAATACATGTTGAATAAAATATTATTAAATAAAATAAAATTACTATGTATGCATTCCAAACAGTAGTACTGCATTGATTACAGGAAGGATTGCCAACTTATAACTGAAACTTAACAGAACTGTTTTAGGACTGGTTCTGGTCCAGCCTTGCCATGGGCTCTCTCTACTTTAGCCTACCATGTAGTTTTACTTCCAAATACAGAAATAGATCTTTAGCTCTAGTCTTTTTTTTTTTCCTTTTCCTCCTATACCATCATGCTTTATGCCTTCTCTTCCTTTTCTACAAGATATTGGCTTGACATTGGAAGATAATCAGTGTAATTTCACACCATAAAATAAAAAGGACAAAAATCATGTAATCCTTTTAACAGATGCAAAAAATTACTGATACAATTTAGTGCGTATTTATAATAAAACTTCTTAACAAATTAGAAATAAGGGGATCTTCTTTAGTGTGATAAAGATGAACCACCACACACTCTATAACGAACACGATGATAATAAAATAAATAACTTTTCCTCATTATATTGGAAATGAAACAAAGATGCTTCCTCTCACCAAGTATATTCAGCGTTGTATAGGAAGCCCTAGCCACTGAAATATGATAAAAAGATAAAACACTGAAAAAAAATCTTATTTGTAGATTATTGAGAAAAGTACAAAACACAGTCCTGCACCACATAATGACATTTCTGTCAACAACAGACAACATACACAGTAGTGTTCCCATAGATGATAATAGAGCTGGAACATTTTTATTACTTGTGGATTTAATTGCTATCGTAACTTTGCAGCCCAACTCATCACCTATTCTATCTTTAGATGTTTACACACACAAATACAACCAGGTGTTCCTTGAAACAGGAATCCTTTCTGAGAAACATGTCGTTGGGTGATTTTGTGGTTATGCAAACATCATAGAATATACACAAACCTACACCGTAGGGCCTAATACATTCCTAAGCTGGATGGTATAGCCTATTGCTCCTGGGCTACAAACCCATATGGCATGCTACTGTACTGAATACTGTAGGCAATTACAACACAATGGTAAGTATTTGTGTATCTAAACCCTGGAAAGGTATAGTAAAAATACAATACAGTCTTAAGAGAGCACTGTTACACATGCAATGCAATGCAATATGCATTGACTGAGATGTTACGCCACGTGACTATACTTGACATTCTCAGTTCCTCAAGTTACTTGCCTTACACAACGGCTTCACGGTGACCACCTTTCTGCGGGAGAGCTAGATACAACCTACTTGACTTGCACCACTGACCCCCATACCGGACATAGACTGTGGAGTCCGGCAGCAGTAACCACCCTCAGTCACAGCGTGACTCCGTGGAGCTCGCGCCTGCTTGCTGGAAACCCACTGATTAGAACTCCCCGTGCGTGGACACTTACCTGCTTGGATAATGCCCTGGACCCCAATAAAGTGTTAGTCCCTTTCTTTCTCGCTCCCTACTCAATGGTTGAGTGCATGTGTCCTACAGCGCCCCTCTTCCTGCTGCTTTGCAGGATGTGCTGCCCTCTGCTGTCCAGAGTCTGTAGGGAAGACACCGTTTCTGTCATTTCACGTGTTTTGCTCAGTGGACCCCTCTGTGTCTTGCCCAACACTCACACCCACACATAGCTTCTCTGGGTCAGGACTCTTAGAGAGTGGCTAGGACAGGAATCCCCAGAGTCTGCCAGTTTATACAAGCTTCCTATGAAAGGGATGCTTGGTCATGGGGCAGAGGCTTGGGCATCAGGCCATCCACCAGATAAAGAAGTATCCTGGCCGGGCGCGGTGGCTCACGCCTGTAATCCCAGCACTGTGGGAGGCCGAGGCGGGCAGATCACGAGGTCAAGAGATCGAGATTATCCTGGCCAACATGGTGAAACCCCCGTCTCTACTAAAAATACAAAAATTAGCTGGGCGTGGTGGCATGCGCCTGTAGTCCCAGCTACTCGGGAGGCTGAGGCAGGAGAATTGCTTGAACCCAGGAGGCGGAGGTTGCAGTGAGCCGAGATCGTGCCACTGCACTCCAGCCTGGCACCTGGCGACAGAGCAAGATTCTATCTCAAAAAATAAATAAATAAAATAAAATAAGTATCCTACAAAGGCACACTCCTCCATGGCTAAATCCTAAATGCTCAGCATAAGGTTAGACTTTACTGCCACTCTCCAGAGAGAACTCAATATCAAATTAGAGGAAAATACAACAGAAATTGTTTTATCGGATAATAATTTAGCTAACCAATTTTCTTTTCATTACCGTGCACGTTTCCTCTTCTTACATTCATTTATAGCCTACCTTTTCCTTTATATTTAAATTGCGTTTCTTGGACCAATTTAAATATATGTTTCTTGTAACATATATTTGTAACTTCTTTCTCATCTAATCTTATGATCTGTACTTTTTATTAGAGCATTTAAATCATTTAAATTTAATTATCAACATAATTGAATTTAAATTTATGGTATTGCCATTTGTTTTCTATTGGCCTAATTTTTATTTTTTCACGGTTCCTGCCTTCCTTTGGATTAATTGGGTAATGTTTGTGATTTTGCTTTACCTCCACTACGGGCTTCCTAGTTAGATCTTCCTGTTTGATTTTTCATAGCTGCACTGGGATTTACAGTATCTGTCTTTAACTTCTCATACTCCACTTTCAAATAATATTCAGCCATTTCGCTATAGTTCAGGAACTTTACAACGCTCTGCTTCCACGTGTTTTTTCCCATCTTTTGCATCATTATGCTGTATATTTTATTTCTATATTTGTTATATAGCCCACAATGCATTATTATTGTTAACATTTTTTCCTTCAATACTGCAAAGGTGTTACCCGATTTTCTTTTGTCTTGCTTAGTTCCTGATGAGAAGTCTGCTCTCATTCATAACTCTGTTCCCTTTCTGTAATATGTCCTTTTTCTTCAGCTACATGTAAGACTTTACCCTTTATTACTAGTTTTTAGAAATTTGATAGTGATACTCTTGAATCTGTTGGTATTTTTCTATATAGGATTTCTGAGCTTCTTGAATCTGTGATTTTTACAGTTTTTATTAATGTTGGTAAATTTGGGGCCATTATTTTTAAAACTACATTTTCTTCCTGTCTCAGGCTGGTACTCCAGTTTCATAAATGATTGCCTGCTTCATATACCACAGCTCATTCAGGATCGGTTTACTTTTTTTTTGAGATGCAGTCTCACTCTGTGGCCCTGGCTGGAGTGCAGTGGCATGATTTCAGCTCACTTCAACCTCTGCCTCCCAGTTCTGTGTAAAACACAGTTGGTCCACATCTGATCTTCCCAGTTGCCACCAACTTTGGGACTCCTGCATACTGACGAGCACAGGCTGAGCACACCGTCAGAGTTATGATGCTATCCCTTTAACATCTGAACACAAACAAAAATGAGATTTCTTTTTCCTCGTTTCTCTTTAGCACGGCAATCGTAGTCCCCTGAGTCCTGGGCTCAAGCGATCCTACCACCTCAGCCATCTGAGTAGCTGGGACTACAAGCACAAGCCACCATGCCAGCTAATGTTTTTAAATTTTTTTGTAGAGATGGGGGTCTCACTATATTACCCAGGCTGATCTCAAACTCCTGGGCTCAAGCAATCCTCCTGCCTTGGCCTCGCAAAGTACTGGAATTACAAGCACGAGTCAGTGCACCCAGCCAATAGGCTTTGTGTGTATTTGTTTTTTTGAGACGGAGTCTTGCTCTGTCACCCAGGCTGGAGTGCAGTGGCACAATGTTGGCTCACTGCCACCTCCACCTCCCAGGTTCAAGTGATTCTCCTACCTCAGCCTCCTGACTAGCTGGGATTACAGGCGTCCACCACCACGCCCAGCTATTTTTCCATAGAGACGGAGTTTTACCATGTTGGCCAGGCTGGACTCAAACTCCTGGCCTCAAATAATCTGCCCTCCTTGGCCTCCCAAAGTGCTGGGATTACAGGCGTGAGCCACCATGCCCAGCTACCAATAGGTCTTTTTAAAAAGGAAAATTCATTAATAACAAAAAGGAAGAAAAAAAGGAAACCGTAGAAAACAATACAAATAGTTTACAAAGGATTTTCAGAGTAGATCTTTGGAAACCTATACACAGTTGAACTTAGTACAACACAGGCTTGAATGTGCAGGCCCACTTCTATGCAGATTTTCTTCTGCCTCTGCCACCCCTGAGACAGCAAGACCAACCCCTCTTCTTCCTCCCCCTTCTCAGCCTTCTCAATATCAAGACAAGGAGAATGAAGACCTCTAGGAAGCTCCCGTTCCGCTTAATGAATAGTAAGTATAATTTCCCTTCCTTGGGATCTTCTTAGTAACATTTTCTCTAGCTTACATTGTTGTAAAAATATAGTATACAATGCATAAGACATACAAAATATGTGTTAGTTGACGAGGCATCTGGTCAACAGTAGGCTATTAGTAAAGCTTTAGGGGACTCAAAAGTTACATTTGAATTTCTGACTTTGTGGGAGGTTGCTGCCCCTAACCTCTGCATCATTCAATGGTCAATTCTATATTCCATGCTAGCCAAAAAAAGAGACTTACAAGCTATAACCAGGATGTCTGCCTTTCCACCCTGTTCCTGGCTGAACCCTATCCTCTTCTCGCCACTGAGAAACAGCCTTTGGCATCCTAATACCGCTTTGCCACTTTACTTACTTACTGTCTTCATACCTAATTCTACTTCTTAAACTTTTCATATACAGAAGCTGAATGTGATTGTGGCGTCTGACACAAAGAAATATAAAAGCTTAGAGCCAATATCGCATCTTCATGTGGTGGGGCAAAGTCTAGTCTCAAATTTACACTGAGATTGCACCTTAATGATAGCTTTTGTGCAGACATTATATTCATATACTAATCAGGGTTTTATTATCTCACAATACCTCCTTCCACATCACCCACTAGAAATGTGATCTTTTTTTTTTTTTTGAGACGAAGTTTCGCTCTTGTTACCCAGGCTGGAGTGCAATGGAGCGATCTTGGCTCACCACAACCTCCACCTCCTGGGTTCAGGCAATTCTCCTGCCTCAGCCTCCTGAGTAGCTGGGATTACAGGCATGTGCCACCATGCCCAGCTAATTTTTTTTTGCATTTTTAGTAGAGACGGGGTTTCACCATGTTGACCAGGATGGTCTCGATCTCTTGACCTCGTGATCCACCCGCCTCGGCCTCCCAAAGTGCTGGGAAATGTGATCTTATAATAACAGGCAAGATTGTTGACCATGTTAATATTCCACAGTCATTTCTTCTTTTCTAAATGTGTGCAATGGTACCCAGAAGAAAATATTGTTTTTATACCTAGAAATTAAAGCATATTTCCCAAAGAATTCATGACATTTAAGAGAAACACAGGATTTGCCTTTAAGAGTGGTGTATCGTTGATTATTGCTGTTGTATTAAATTACTACAAATTCAGAAGCTCAAAACAACTTGAATGTATAATCTCCGAATTTTGCCGGTCAGAGATCTGCATTGGATTGATTGATTTCCTTACTCTGATGTCAGCCAGCCTGGACTCTCATCTGGAGGCTCTGGGGTACAGTCCATTTCCAAGCTGCTTATTCAGGTTGTTGACAGAATTCAGTTCCTTGCAGTTGCAGGGTTGAGGTTCTCATTTCTTTTTCTTTTTCTTTTTTTTTTTTTTGAGACAGAGTCTCACACTATGGCCCAGGCTGTAGTGCAGTGGCACAATCTCGGCTCACTGCAATCTCTGCCTCCTGGGTTCAAGCAATTCTTCTGCCTCAGCCTCCCGAGTAGCTGGGACTACAGGTGTGCGCCACCACGCCCAGCTAATTTTTTTGTATTTTTAGTAGTCTGGCCAGGGACAGCTGAACTTCAGGGGAAGATTACCTTCCCACTCTGTCCCCTTTTCAGCTCCTCTTCCTGCTGATAGCCACTTTAATCAGCAATTAAGTCCCTCATATTTACTATCTTCAATTCATTTGTGCAACCTCATTCCTCCTGGATGTTGGACAAGAACTCAGGGGCCACGAATGTGGGTGCAAAAAGCTCTCGCACTGACCCTTTGCTCTCACTGGTGGAAGGCAGCTGCCTCACATGAAAAGGCAGAGGGGCCGCTCATCTGTTAACACCTGTTAACACTTAAGTCATCGATGGATGGCCAAGCTAAAAGAACACTCTCACACCTTGTCTGGGGCCTCAGGAGCTGCAGGTACCTCCCAGATGCTGTGGCAGTGCCGGTACAGAGTTGGCAAATGCCAGCACCCAAAAACACTTGCCCTAGGTCCTGCACCTACTCACCTGTGTGATCCCTACCAGGGGGAGTGGAATGGTGGAATGCGGCAAGTTCCAGTGGGTGGAGTCTGTCCCTGTTGGTGCTGGAATGGCCAGCTGACTCCAGAGCTCCTGTACTCCAATTCCTGCCTGCAAAGGAGTAAGAAAAATATCCTGGGCCAGGTGTGGTGGCTCACGCCTGTAATCCTAGCACTTTGGGAGGCCGAGGCGGGTGGATCACGAGGTCAAGAGATCGAGACCATCTTGGTCAACATGGTGAAACCCCGTCTCTACTAAAAATACAAAAAAAAATTTAGCTGGGCATGGTGGTGCGTGCCTGTAATCCCAGCTACTCAGGAGGCTGAGGCAGAGGAATTGCCTGAACTGAGGAGGCGGAGGTTGTGGTGAGCCAAGATCGCGCCATTGCACTCCAGCCTGGGTAACAAGAGCGAAACTCCATCTCAAAAAGAAAAGAAAAGAAAAATATCCTGCTTCACTAAAGCATCTTGAATCTGTAGTTTTACAATTTTTATTAATCTTGTAAATTTATGAGTCTTATATTTAAAACTATATTCCCTCTGCCTCTTACGATGGTATTCTAATTTTATAAATGATTACCTGCTTGATATCCTACAGCTCACCGAAGATTGGTTCCCTTTTGTTCTTTTTTCTTTTGAGACAAAGTCTTGCCCAGCTATTGTTTGTATTTTTAGTAGAGATGGGGTTTCACTGTGTTAGCCAGGATGATGTCGATCTCCTGACCTTGTGATCCACCCACCTCGGGCTCCCAGAGTGCTGGGATTACATGTGTGAGCCACTGCGCCCGGCCTTGGTTTACTTTCTTTTTTTACTTTCTCATCTCTCTGAGCTTCATTTGGGATAGTTTATCTTGCTAGGGCTTTACGTTCACTGATCCACAGTGCCTAATGTGTTGTTAACCATATTCGGGGTATTTCTTATTTCAGGTAATGATACTGACATTATCTGAAGAGGGGGCCATTGCACGCCATAGAGTGTCAAGAAGATTTTGATCAGGTAGCAGAAAACAACATAGGAAACAGTCAATCCCAGAGCCTTTATTGGTTTTGGTGGGAAACGCAAGGCAGGGCAGGGAAAAGAGTTTGGGGTTGGTTCGTCTGAATTAATTCCAGCAGGATTGGGGCTATAGGAGTGGTCTCTAGTGGTCTGTACCTGCCTCTGGGATGATTTAGAATCACGGAAATATAGGCTTGGTGTGTGACAGTTAGATAAGGTGATTGTTGGGACTACAGACTCAGGATTGAGTGGTTTACATACAATGGATCTGCTCTTACACAATTTGCTCCTATTTTTAGGAATTAGCTAGCCTTGGGAAGGGTAGTCTTTCCTTGTGTCTACAAGCCCCCTAACTGCTAGAATATCAAGAATACAAAAAAGTAAGAAAATATAGTTAATATGATTGGTCCTGTGATAAACAGACAACAAATTGAGAAATACAGAATTGAAGAAAACCCACAGCAGTCTGTTCAGAATAAAGCATCCCCCATTCTGTGGGTACAAGCCATTGTTCCTCACCATCCTTCCAAAGGAGTGGGCCCTTAACTCAATGTCAGAAAGAACACTTGCTAGACATTAAGCAGTCTTTGTTTATAGAAGCCCAACCAGGCAGATTTGGGGTCTTCTGCTATATTGTACCTGTATTAACAAACCTCAGATATTGTGGGCTTGACAGAATTTGCAACTTGGTTCTATTTTGTACCTACTAAGTGATATGAACTATGTTAGTTCCTTTCACTGGCTTCATCTCTTTTTATATCTCCCACCTAGTCTCATTATTTTGCTGATATATATGGTGGTCTTGCTTGCTGGTCCCCAGACCACAACCTATACAGCAAAACGATGGATTATTTTCAACTTATACTGAGTGACACAATAGTACCCATCTGACATCGTATTATTGCAGCTGGTTATTGGGAAATACAACATCCAAAAGAACACTTGCTCCACTTTTAGCAGTTTTTGTCTACTACATGTTCTCAAGTAGGTGTGGGGTTTACCATCTATTAGAGCCAAATTGTTCAAATGAATGCAAGCAACAAAGGAGGCGAGGATACATCAGCTTTGGCTGTTGATGACCTCTTTCATTTTACACAAAACACGAATGAAAGATATTGATTAATGGTGGATACCTATAAATAAACAAAAAGAAAGAGGATGCTTGCTATAGTTGATTAGTAGGCATGAGCTATGCTAAATAATCAAAAGTTAAAGTCCTTTGGATTTGACCCTGCCTTCTTTTGTCATTATACACAATTGTTTATGAATCTGAAGAATTTTCTCCTAAGCTTATTTAAAGACCAAACATTCAGTGCAGCATCCTCATCTAGATGCTGATATGTGAAGATGTATTTATAAAATAAACTTTACGTGTCTACGCAAACACCATTAATTTTTTAAAAGAGCTGATTATAACTTGAGGAATCAGGGTGATAACCAAAAGCAATAGCATTTCTGGCTTCTGGAGCTATAAAATTAGCTAGGTAATGACATTCTTTTCAGCTGATTAATTTTTTTTTCTAGCTGGGACATCTGTTGTCATTTGAAAACTGTCCAGTATGAATATCTGAAGCAGATGGGAACAGCATGGAAGATGTCAGATTTACTTGTGGTGTAAGTAATATTTGCTCTTTTTGGACAAGGTTTTCTGCAGGAAAGGGGGTGCCATTTGCTCTCAGTTTTAGCCTTAGGCAGTGGTCAGTAACGACAGGTAAGAGTAGATGTGGCATCTGGGAAGAGGTGCTGACTTCCTCAACGTGAGGTCTCCAGGCTGCTGCTTAATGCTTTTATTCTCACATGTTGTGTGATTAAACACTTGGTGAGGCCCTGGGGCTGCCAGCTGGACATGATTTGACACCCTTATTAATCTTGAGAAATGTTCTCACTTTCAACCAATTAGAAAAGTTTTGGAAAAGCCCCGTGCCATGTGGCTGTGTTGCTTCCAGTAGATAATGCCAGTTGGCAGTTATCTTTTCATTAACTGGCCTGAGTGTTTCAGGATAGCTCCTGTTTTCATTAGCTGTTCTGAATATTTCAGGCTAGCTCTTGTTTGTTGTAATTTCATGGGTAGAAGCTGTCCATGGAAAGTGGAGGTTGCCTATCGCAGCCACCTGAGAAATAGTGCAAATCTTTGAAGATCTCCAGAATCCCTAGAGCCAAAATATGGTATTTCTCCTTCTGATCGGTTTCTCTTTGAGGTCCGGCCATGAGCCTCCATTCCTGGCATCTCACTTACTGTGCTCTGTGGCAAGCGAACAGAAGAGCATGGCACTCTCAAGCTGAAAAACTCAAGTCTTTCAAGAACAAAATTTCAGTGGAGTGCTCATGAGGATCTGGACCTGTCTCTAGGTGCTGATGAATTAATGACTAAAAGATTGTCTGTCCTTCAAGATCTCACAGTCCAGTGAAGCATCAGATATGTGAACAGATTATTAAATGCAGCAAGTTTTATAATAAGAATGTGTACAAATTATTATGACAGAAAATAGGGGAAATCTGGGAAAAAAGGTTTTTAGTTGAGTATTTAAAGATCAAAATAATTCATTAGGGCACAAAAGTGAAGGGATATTATTCCAGTATGGAACAAACATAGGGAGGGACAATAATGCATTTGTGGGGATTAGGCATACATCAAATGAATGACCAGACAAGGAAGGGACATTCTAGGTCAGTAGTTACCACACTTCATGGCCACAGAACATCTTTACACTCCTATTATTGGGGACCCCAAAGAGTTTCTGTTTACATGGGTTACACCTATGCTAGTTACTGTACTTTAAATTTAATTAAACTTAAACTGACATATTATTAAACACACATAACATGTTAACATATGAAAATAATTATATTTCCAAAACAAGAGAAAAATAGCACAGAGTCACATTGCTTTATATTTTTGAAAATTTCTTTAACTTCTTGCTTAAGAACACAATTCGATCCGTATAGTTGCTTCTGCATTCAGATAGTTGCAATATGTTGTTTTGGTTCAAGATGTAAAAAAAAAAAATCTGGTCTTACACATACAGGTAGCTGAAAAAGTGACAAGATTTTGAATGGCCTTTACAGATAATTGTGGATATTCTTCTTCAATACTACCCAAAAATTCTATATGTGGTAGTCTCTTAAAAGTTTGTTGCAATAAAAAATGTGGAACTGTAGGCAAAGGCATTTTATACTCAGTTACATTAAATCCATTGGTCTGTTCTGCACTGTGAACAGACATTTTGCCATGAACAATTTTGCAACATTACACATTGATCATCAGAAGAAATATTGTTTCACTCAGTTATGCAGATCTTCCAAATGCTGTCATAGTGATTATACAACACCAAAAAAGCACGTTTGTTAAAGTCACCCCTAATGTCATCAGAAAGAGTCTTTTAGTGCTGAGAAACTGTCAAGTTTACCGAGGTTGATATAAGTTCTCCAATATGCTAATTTTTGCTTGAAAGCTTTATCAGTTGTTTTCCTTACAGTGACAAACCACATTCGAATACCTATCGCTTGTCTGTCAGTCATTCTTTCAAGTACAAATGGTGTTCCATGAAGAACAGCAGCCAGCACAGCTTGCGGCTCAATCTCACAAGGGCTTTTTCTCAGGAACGTCGTTGTCCTTGATACGCAGCGGAAGTACCTAGTGTGCACGTCCCATTTCACCCTACAGAATATTTTAAAAGCATGAACTCCAGATTACATAAAAGTCATAATTTTAGGCTACTTTTTTCAGGACATTCTTACATGAAACGGGCTGCGTTTTCTGTTGGTTTGTTTTGTTTCGTTTTCCTTTATGCAGTGTGTACGGAAGAATATAATGGTCCCGTGCACAGTTGAATACGTCTGTCTTGATTGGTGTTCATGCCCCTGAAATTCTAACCGCCACTATTTTTGAACCATCAGTGCAAGTCCCAACACAGCAGAAGAGCAAATAATGCCCCGTTTTGATCTTGCAGATCCGCTGACTAGGTCTTGAATACCATCCTTTGGAACAACTATTTTAAATAAAATTATAAAATAGAAGAAAAGAAACAGGAAAAAGGAAATTTATTGAGCAAACTCTATGCCCCAGGGACTAAAGAGCATTAGGATTCATCCAGTTAAAGTGATCCAAAAATGAAAATAATTTACCAAACAAAAAATAAAACTTGACAAATGAGCTAAGGAAAAAAGGAACTACATTAGTTCATTTGACTAAACTGAGGCCAGGGAAGGGGTACCGTATTAACCCATAATTGAAAGCTGGGACCAGGTGCAGTGACTTTGGTAGGCTGGGTAATCCCAGCACTTTGGTAGGCTGAGGCAGGCAGATCACTTGAGGTTAGGAGTTTGAGACCAGCTAACAAGGTGAAACCCCATCTCTACTAAAAATACAAAAATTAGCTGGGCATGCTGGCATGTGCCTGTAATCCCAGCTACTTGGGAGGATGAGGCAGGAGAATTGCTTGAACCCAGGATGCAAAGGTTGCAGTGAGCTGAGATCGCACCATCACACTCAGCCTGGGTGAAGAAGTGAGACTCCATCTCAAAAAAAAAAAAAAGCAAGCAAGAAAGAAAGTTGGAAAACACACATCCTCAGGCCCTCTCCATCTCTCCCTTGGCCTTTAATCTCTGACCAACTCTTCCCATGAAGTTGGGACCTTGGCTGCTGGCAACTACTGGTTCACCTTTCTAATTTTGTTACCAGAAAGGAAGAGACTCTCTTCCATTATTCTAATGTAAAAAATCCCAGAGAAAGAAAGACTGGCTCATCTTGGGTATATGCTGTCTTTGTGGCCAGGATGGGGGGTGGGGGAGGTAGAGTTAGGAATGGCTTGTGTGATTGGCAGGGCCCACTTGAATCATGTGGTTGGAATAGGGAGAAGAATGGGTCCCAAAAGGTAATGTGGGAGTTGTTTTCAGAAGAAAGGAGATGTTCTTGGAAAATTTAATAAGAGAGAGAGAGAGAGAGAGAGAGAGAGAGAGAGAGAGAGAGAGTGTGTGTGTGTGTGTGTGTAGGCTTATATATTTAATATAAATATCACAATACATTCCGAATCAGCCAAATTTTAAAAATGAGGAATCTACTTGTCAGAGTTTAATCAACTTTCCCAGCATTACAAAACTATCAATTTAGGGAGCTGCATTTTCATGCCTCTAAGTTCAACTTTGAAGGTTCTAAGTTCAACTTTGTGAGGCTACCTCCCAATGAGGACAAGAGAATGTGTGTGGGTGATTCAAAGAGTCAACTTATTCATAAAGCTCAGAAAATCTTTTTTTCAACATATTTACTCACTACTAATTTATTTTCCCAACATTAATATTTTTAAAATTATCAATTGACAGTGGAAAATGATGACTTCATCCTAAAGTCATGATTGGATATATGGAATCAATGTTTTGCAATAGCTTATTCATGAAATGTTGCTATATTATAAGGTCAAATTGTGACAGGTTAATGACTAATATTTATTAAATAGTTATGTGTTAAACTCTATGCTAACCGCTTAGTAGACACGGTGAAAATTCAATCTTCACAACAGTGCCATTAGCCAGCTACTATCAGGGTTTCCTTCAGCTAATGCCTAAGAATTAGAGGTCTTTATGGTTTTACTTTGGTGATTAAATTCTCCAGCCAAGTAGCCACACACAACTCCTACTCACACCTTGCTGCCGAACTAGTTACATGGCCCCTCCTCACCAAATAGGGCTAGAAAATACAAACCTACTGGGTACCCGGAAGTAGGAGTACCAAGAGCATTTAACGACACAAACATCAAAATTATCTCTTTCCATCCACCTGTCTGCAATCTTCATCATGTTCACTTTTTTAAATTGAAGGCATTGTAGTTCTTTGAGTTTAAATCTCCATGAGAGGAGCACAAGCTCATCTGTTATCTAATTAACATTGAGTTTAAATTACCTGAGAAGCTATGCTATGCTCTGAATATGTGTGAGAATAAAGTCTGTGATAGGAAGGGAAGCTCTGGTGACACCTGTGGCCACAATGTCCCATGAGCCACATACATGCATGGACCCTTGAGCTGGATAACAGAAAGTAGGGTGAGAATACAAATAGGAGGCTGACTGATACTATAGACAGACTTTTGTTATTTTGTAATTTTTTCCTGTACATTAAAACTCCCAAATTTTTGCCATTGAACTTCCTTTGGGAAATCCTCCCAATTCCTCCTAGATTTAAGCATGAAGGCCATGTCTTAGCAATTGTTCTACGTTCCAATTTCCACCTTGCTGCTAAGGGAAAGGACTCTGTCATCCTACTTCCCCCTGAATAAGCCGCTCCCATTCAGGATGACTTGCAGACTGGGATGTGCTGACTGCAGTTCCTTCCAAATCCCTTCCTGGATAATCATCAAAAGGAAACTACAGCCGGGCACGGTGGCTCACGCCTGTAATCCCAGCACTTTGGGAGGCCAAGGCTGGTGGATCACGAGGTCAAAAGATCGAGACCATCCTGGTCAACATGGTGAAACCCCGTCTCTACTGAAAATACAAAAATTAGCTGGGCATGGTGGCACGTGCCTGTAATCCCAGTTACTTGGGAGGCTGAGGCAGGAGAATTGCTTGAACCCAGAAGGCGGAGGTTGCAGTGAGCCGAGATCGCTCCATTGCACTCCAGCCTGGGTAACAAGAGTGAAACTCCGTCTCAAAAAAAAAAAAAAAGGAAACTACAGGCTGGGCACGGTGGCTCACACATGTAATCCCAGCACTCTGAGAGGCTGAGGTGGGCAGATTACATGAGTCCAGGAGTTCAAGACCAGCCTGGGCAACAGCCAGTCTCTACCCCAAAATGCAAAAATTAGCTGGGCTTGCATGTCTGTGGTCCCATCTCCTCAGGAGGCTGTGGCAGGAGGATCAGTTGAGCCCAGGAGGCAGAGGTTACAGTAATCCATGATCAGGTCACTGTGCTCCAACCTGGGTGACAGCACCAGACCCTGTCCCCCGGCAAAAAGAAAGAAAGAAGAAAACTACAATATGAAACTGAGGAAGGCATGAAGCTCAGAATTTTTAGTGAGTTCTTAAAGCCATTACTCTTAATATTTATTTTATGACACTCTGAGTTAGGAATAGAAATGCTTCAACAATACCTATACCATAGATTATTTTAAGAGTGAAATTATGTATCCTTGGGCACAGCTTTTGGTGAATAATAGATGGCTCATAAAGCTGCTGTATACATGGCTATAGTGTATCACAGCCAAAGGATATGGACTAAAATCAGCCCAAGGAAGAAGCACATAGAGCAGAGTCCAGGAAGGTTCCAAATTCAGAGTTCCCAGCTGTCCTTTCTAAGCACAGTCATGGAAAGTGTTGCCTTCAAGTCTGACAATAAGGGCAGAGTGTTGCCAACCAGGGACACTCACCTAGGCCTTGGTGCCCAAAGCCCTTGTTGGCACTCCACCTGCAGGCACAGCTGACTACACCCTTGGCTGACCCAGTGTCGAGCCCCTGTAGAGGTCAAACTGTTACCATGTGACCCAAGGTTCCCACACCAAATCACGTTGTTGGAATGCCTAGCATGGCCAGCCCCCCTTCCCTAAATCACATTGCTACACTCCGATCTGTCAGAAACAATGTTCCATGGGCTTAGATATTAATTTCCGGAAGCCAAGGACAAAGGCCATACTTCTCCTTGAGTAAGATTAAATTCTTTACTATACAAACCACACACACACAGAGACAGCTACAACCAAACCTTTCACCCCTGAAGCTCATTTATAAGTCATATGATACGGTTTGGCTGTGTCCACATCCAAATCTCATCTTGAATTGTAGCTCCCATAATTCTCAAATGTTGTGGGAGGGACCCGGCAGGAGATAACTAAATCATGCTGGAGGTTACCCTCATACTCTTCCCATGGTAGTGAATAAGTCTCACGAGGTTTGATGGTTTCATAAGGGGAAACCCTTTTCACTTGTTCTCATTCTCTTATCTGCCACCATGTAAAACGTAACTTTCACCTTTCATCATGATGGTGAGACCTCCCCACCCACGAAGAACTGCGAGTCCATTTTACCTCTTTTTCTTTATAAATTACCCAGTCTCAGATATGTCCTCATCAGCAGGCTAATACTTCATATCCTGTCCCTAGGAGAAAAAAATGAAACCAAAGAAAAATTCCATTTATTGTGGCTGCTGATTACAACTTCTGTAAATATTACCCTTTACTGGAAAGATTTTGTAAAGAAGCAGGAATCTTTTTTTTCAATAATGCATTATACAATTATTCTACAAAGAAAAAAACTTGGATATTAGTACCTTTAAAATAAGTGGGGTTAATTATGAGTTTTTCACTTCTAAAACTAAGCTTTACCTACTCTCCTTTCTGTTGGCCTAATTAACTCAATCTCTAGAGATCTTTGGCTTTGCTGTGAAGTTCAGAACATGTCACTGCTGATGAATACATTAATGACAGAAAGGAATCAAAGTCAAAATTATCATGAAATTAGTATCCCACTGCTCACTACGTTCAGGAAAAACTAACCGAACTTATCAGGACAGCTGTTGATGAGATAATCAACTCTGACAAAAATTTTAGTTTTGCTTTAGATATCTTTGGTACAATATTGTCATAAACTTCAAGCTATTTTAAAAGCAGAAGCTATGGGCCCTCACCAAATGACTGTTATGTTATGATCCCCTCAACATTTATAGTCTTCAAAAACTGAAATCTTGATACAAAGAATCTTCACTGTGAAACTGTAGTCATTACCCTTTAAATTGATTTTATTCATATTAACCTTATAGATGCTTCAAGTATACCGGGTGTTGTATTTTAAATGCAGTTATTTTAGGGAATGTAAGGAAAGAATATTCATCTAAATAGGCTTTGGATACATAGTAATGGAAAGAGCCAATATTATAAGAGAGTACCTACTTAGAAATACCCAGCACTTATTAAAAATCTATCTTTTCCATAGGTTTTTGGAAATATGTTAATAATATATTGTTGATCTTCCTTGGAGCATGCCATACCAGAAGACTACCAAGAGAAAAACAGCGGATCTGGAGAAAGAGATGGCGTGTGAAAATAAAATA